CATTTCATCTTAAGAACAGACAGGCATCTCGAACTCTAAGGATTACCTGGGAAGGAAACCCACTGGAGCATTGCAGCACATCAAAATACCTGGGAGTTGCTCTGACTTATAAGAAGCGCTGTTTAAATAACAAGCAAAAAGTGGGTGCTAGAAAAAATATCATACGAAAACTGACTGGCACAACTTGGGGATCACAACCAAACTACTCTGCTGCTGAATACGCATGCCCAGTGTGGAATACATTTCAACACATTAAACAGCAGATGTAGATCTTAATGAGACATTTCACATTATCACAGGATGTCAACGCCCTACACTGTTGGGAAAAAAACTATACTCTTTAACTGATATTGCAGCACCTGACATCCTTCAGGAAGTAGCAGCCTGTAATGAAAGGAACAAGACATTGACATCTCCGGCCCATCCTCTATTCCGATATCAGCCAGCAAGCCAACACCTTAAAGCAGGAAATAATTTCCTAAGCTCTACAGAGATACTTGCAGAAGCAGCTCAGTAAGCAAGAGTCCAAAAGTGGCAATTTAAAACCCGGAACCTCAATCTGAGAAACTCCCCTCGGGCACACAGAAGAATGGGCGATCTGGAAGGCACTGAACAGACTGCATTATGGTACCACAAGATGCAGAGCCAATGGGGCTACAAAGTGGAGACCACAATATTTTTATTTATTTTTTATTTATTTACTGTATTTATATACCGCCTTTTTCACCCCTGGCGGGAGATTCAAGGTGGTTTACAACATACTAATGGCAGTCCACAGAGGAGTCCACAGAGAAGGCCCTAACAGCTCTCGATCCCACCCTGTTTCAAGTGGGGCTGGTGGGAACGAGAGCGGGGGCCTTCTCCGTGGTCGCTCCTTGCTTCTTGAACTCCTTCCCTAAAGAATTAAAAATGACTGCTCTCTTCACTCCTTTAAAAAGCTTTTAGTAAATGTGATGAAGTGGAAAGACCCATCTATGTAATCTAGTCTATAGAGAGGAGAAGGATGAGCATCTCTTACACCCATCCTCGCCTTGACATCATATACTTCCTTTGCCTGCTGACGTGATATATTATATTATGCTTTTAATGTATAGTGTTTCAATTGGTCTGACTCCTTGTACTTATTATGTTTATTTAGCTTAACCCTTCGATTCAGATGTTTACTATAGCTGTTAGGAATTGTGGGAGTTGGAATCCGAAACAAAATTTGCCCATGCCTGGTGTAGATGCACCCAAAGTCCCAGACTAGAACTGTAACCACTGCCTGACACTATTTCTCCTTTTGTACAATTTGTTGTGTTTACAGCAGATCCTTATTGAGCAATTTTGATGCAGAGAGCTGGAAATTGTCATTCCAGAATCAATCCAGGCTTCATGGCCCAGGGCCAGGAGGGGCAATTTGTTTGGAGAACACCCAAGAAAATACCAATTAAAGAGTTGTATAAGAGATGAATTATGTTTGCCCAGCAGGCAGGCTCCCAAGATAAAGAGTCGACACCCCAAATCTCACCTTATAAAAGACTAGATTTTCCTTCAGCTGATTCTGCGGAACCCAGATACAGATCTACATCAACCAAGAGCTGCAATGTAAGTTGATGGTACATTCACATTTATCTCCCTTCCCTTTGGACATAAGGGAGAAAGGAGTTGACATTCCATATGGTGTCCCTCTTTTATGGAGATTGGTGGGACTTTGGGATGGTTTCCTAAACTATAGAGAATCCTCTACATCCAGTATTTGTAGAATTTGGAGACAGCTGGTTCAGAGCAATACGAAGAGGTTCATGTCTCTTCAACAAAGCTTGGAAAAGTTACATTTTTAACATGGCACAGAAAAGAATGCTTAGTTTAACCAGGAGGAACCAAGTGAATAAGTAAAAAAAAAAAGAGTGCATAGGAAGGCCTAACTGGCAAATAGAGGGAGAAAACATGGAGGAAGTGACAGACTTTGTATTTCTAAGTGCAAAGATTACTGCAGACGCAGACTGCAGCCAGGAAATCAAAATATCTTTCTTGGGAGGAGAGCAATGACCAATTTCGACAAAATAGTGAAGCGTAAAGACAATTATGCTGGGGAAAATGGAAGGAAAAAGGAAGAGGGTCCAATCAAGAGCAAGATGGATGGATGGCATCCTTGAAGTGACTGGATTGACCTTGAAAGAGCTGGGGGTGGTGACGGCCGACAGGGAGCTCTGGCGTGGGCTGGTCCATGAGGTCACAAAGAGTCAGAAACGACTGAATGATGAACAACAATAACAAGAGACATCACACTGGCAACAAAGAGCCGCATAGTTAAAACAATGGTATTCCCTGTAGTAACCTATGGATGCGAGAAGTGAACCATAAGGAAGGCTTAGCAAAGGAAGACAGATGCTTTTGAACTGTGGTGTTGGAGGAAAATTCTGAGAGTGCCTTGGACCATGAGAAGATCCAACCAGTCCATACTTAATAAAGCCCGACTGCTCATTGGAGGGAAGGATATTAAAGCAAAGATTAAGTATTTTGGCCACATAATGAGAAGACAGGAAAGCTTAGAGAAGACAATGATGCTGGGGAAAATGGAAGGAAAAAGGAAGAGGGGCCGACCAAGGGCAAGATGGATGGATGGTATCCTTGAAATGACTGGCTTGACTCTGAAGTAGCTGGGGGTGGTAACGGCCGGCAGGGAGCTCTAGCATGGGCTGGTCCATGAGGTCACGAAGATTCGGAAGTGACCGAATCAATAAACAACAACAGGAAGCCCTAAATCAGTGTTTCTCATCCTTCCTAATACCGTGACCCATTAATACAGTTCCTCATGTTGTGGTGACCTCCACCCATAAAATTGCTGCTTCATAACTGTAATTTTGCAACTGTTATTAATTGTAATGTAAATATCTGATATGAAGGATGTATCTTCATTCACTGGACCAAATTTGGCACAAATATCCAATGCACTTTGAATACTGTGGATACTTTGAATTTGAATACTCGTGGGGTTGGGAAGATTGATTTTGTCAGTGGGAATTGTAGTGTCTGGCAATTATAGTTCACTGCCTCACCCCCTACCAAGCCCAGAGATCTCTCAATTCTGAGGACCAAGATTTATTGGAAGTTACCAGTTTTAAAACCTTGCGTCTAACAGCAACTAGACGCAGAGCCTTTACAGTAGTGGCACCATCACTCTGGAACACTCTGCCACCAGAAGTTCGTGCCTTGCRGGACTTATCAGCTTTCCGCAGGGCTTGTAAGACATACCTGTTTCAACAGGCTTTTGACCTTTGATATGTTGTTTTAATTTGTGTCAGATTCCAGTTTCTTTTTGTAAGCCACTCCGAGCCCTAGGGGAGTGGTGGCATATAAGTTTGAATAATTAATAAATAAATAAATAAATAAATAAATAAATAAAAGAGCATTCTGAATTCCATCAACAATGGAATTGAACCAAACTTAGCACACAGAACTCCCATAACCAACAGAAAATACTGGGTTTGGTGAGCRTTGACCTTGAGTTTCGGAGTTGTAGTTCACCTACATCCAGAGAGTACTGTGGACTCAATCAATGTTGGATCTGGACCAAACTTGGCACGAATGCTCAATATGCCCAAATGTGAACWCTGGTGGAGTTTGGGGAAAATACAGCTTGACATTGGGAGTTGTAGTTGCTAGTATTTTTATTTCACCTACAATCCAATAGCATTCTCAACTCCACCAATGATAGAATAGAGCCACACTTCCCAAACAGAACCCCCATGACCAACAGAAAATACTTTGTCTTCTTATGATCTTTGGTGACCCCTCTGACACCCCCTCGTGCCCTCCCAGATATCATACGAAAGCTGACTGGCACAACCTGGGGATCACAACCAGACACAGTTAAGACATCTGCCATTGCCCTTTGCTAATCTGCTGCTGAATATGCATGCCCAGTGTGGAATACGTTTCACCAAGTTAAAATGGTGGATGTGGCTTTAAGGGGTGAGAATGGTGGAGTATAAATATGGTAAATAAATAATAAAATTAATGAGCCATGCCGCATTATCACAGGATGTCTATGCTCTACACCACTAGAGAAATTATATTGTTTAGCTGGTACTGCACCACCTGACATCCACCCAGAAGTAGCAGCCATTCATGAAAAGACAAAGGTATTGACATCTCCGGCCCATTTCCTGTTCAGATATCAGCCAGCAAGCCAATGCCTTAAGTTATGAAATAGCTTGCTAAGATCTACAAGGATACTTGCATGAACACCTCAGCAAGCGAGAGTCCAAAAGTGGCAGGCTAAAACCCTGAACCTCAATCATTGGCTGAGAAACTCCCCCCGCCCCGCCCCGGGCACACAGAAGGCTGGGCGACTTGGAATGCGCTGAACAGACTGGAATGCGCTGAACAGACTGGAATGCGCTGAACAGACTGGAATGCGCTGAACAGACCACGAGATGCAGAACCAACCTTAGGAAATAGGGCTACATAGTGGAGTCCACGACATGCAAGTATGGAGAAGAGCAAACCACAGACTCCTTACTACAATGCGGTCTGAGCCCTGCCACATGCACAATGGAGAACCTTCTTACAGCAACACCAGAGGCACTCCAAGTGGCCAGCTTCTGGTCAAAGGGAATTTAGTATAATGCCAAGTTTTTAACTTTCTTTGTGGTTTTTCTATATAACTGTATTCCCAATTTGCTTCTGACACAATAAATTTAAATAACTTACTTAGAAATCCAAAATGCTCCAAAATTGTCCAGTTGGGTGGCTGAGTTCAATGAGTTGCTTTGTTCAATGTACAGAAACTTGTTTCATGCACAAATTATTAAAAGTAATGTATAAAATTGCCTTCAAATATTTCAACTTTTGAAAGGCAAAACATTTCTGGTCCCAAGGATTTCAGATTAGGGGTACTTTACCCATAATAAAATGTAACAATCATGTAATATTTTAAATGGTAAAAACACTAATGGATTAACAATCAAAAAAATTAATGGATTGTACATGCAACATTCTCTCTCTTCTTTTAGGATGCTTTGTTTCACCCTCCTCACCTTACTTTGCTGTGCCTTCACCAGTGCAGGTAAATACTTCCTGGGATTTTTCCTAAAGAGTTTTTGTTGTCCAAGAATAAATTCTTGTGTCCTTTTCCCATTGCAGGAGATGGCTTCAGCTTCAGCGAGGCAGTGAATTTCACTCCAGATTTTACTTTGAGGGCCCTGCCACACAGCCCTATATCTCAGAATCTCAAGGCAAAAAATTCCACAATATCTGCTTTGAACTGGAGGCACATCCAGATAGCCCTTTAACGTGGGAGTTCCCACAATTAAAAGGGGGCTGTTCAGACCAAACCCGAAGTAATTCGCCACAAACCAGGAAAACCCTGGTTTATGGTAAATTAATTTGTTAGTGGGTTTATTCCGCACCTTCTTGGAAAGCGCGGGATAAATCCACTACTTCCACTGTCTGGAACTCCTCCCCCAAAAATTCTGGACTCTTGAGGGGGAAGTTAAGACAGCAGTCCCACAGTTTTCTGGGCTAAATTAGCCCAGAAAACTGCAAGGACACCAACCCCCCTCCCCAAAATCCCTTTGAAAAGTAAAAGAAAAAGACCAGGTAAGTTCTTTTACTTTTCATTAGGGGATTTCAGGGTGGGTGCTAGAGTGTCAAGTGTTCTCCCAGAAAGTTTCGGGAAAACATCTGGACACCCAACCCAGAAAGCATGCGCTTTCTGGCGTGTGTGTGGATAGAGACCTGGGAACATTTACAGTTTTTAAACACGAATGTTCCTGGGATAAATGCCTTGCTAGAAGCGCTCTGGGTTATCTGAGTCCACACTCAGATAATGTGGGATTTCCTGCCTTGATATTCTGGGATATAGGGCTGTGTGGAAGGACGCTACAGTTTAAAGAAGCTCTTCAAAGTGCTGAAGACTAGCTCCAAAATAGGGCTAGCATCTTGGTTAGCCCCTCTAAGTTCAGACTAAAACCTGGAGCAAATTCACATACACACACCTCAATGACATGCTATTCATTAACCCTTTTCCTGTTCTGGGATTTATTTTAGAAGTCAACCAGGCACGTTCTTCATCCTTTTCTGGCGAGTTTGGTGGGGGCGGCGGAAAACGCTTCTCACACTCTGGGAACCAGCTGGACGGACCCATAAGAGCCATTAGGATTCGAGTTACCCGCTCTCACATTACAGGGTAAGGAATGTATGGGAGCCTGGAGGTCAGGGAACTAGTTGTATTTTGATATTGTTGTAGATGGTTAAAATTGAGCAACTGATGTATTTGCTATTGTTATTTATTTATTTATTTATTTGTATACCGCTCTTCTCAGCCCTTAGGCGACTCAGAGCGGTTAACAACAAACAGCAGCAAAATTCAATACTAGCATCATACAAACCATTTAAAAACAATTAACACAATAATACACTAAGCAATTAATATCAATAAACAACTCATTAGCATCTCATAACTAAAATCATAATCCAAGCTCGTCATCCGTTGTTCCGATTTCCTATAATTCATTATAATTCATTGCACTGCCTATTCAAATGCCTGTTCAAATAACCAGGTTTTCACTTTCTTCCGAAATCCCATTTATGAGGGAGCCGATCTAATGTCTGTGGGAAGGGCGTTCCACAGCCGAGGGGCCACCACTGAGAAGGCCCTGTTCCTCGTCCCCGCCAACCGCGCCTGAATTGCAGGCGGGATCGAGAGCAGGGCCTCCCCAGAAGATCTTAAAGTCCTAGTGGGTTCGTAGGCGGAGATGCGTTCGGATAGGTAACTTGTACCTTCAAGCTGTTCTGACTTGTGATGATCTCATGACAAGGTATTCTTGCAGAAGATCTGCCATTACCTTCCTATGAGGCTGAGATAGCATGATTTGCCCACTGACACCCATTTGGTTTCCATGACTAAGCGTCTGCCGCTTAAAATGAATCTAATCTTTTCTTCAACTGTGGGGAAATTCAGAAGAAACTCTATAAAACTTGGAAGGGAATCATGCAGTCACCGGATATCTAAAACATCTAACATTCCTCATCCTCAGCTATGTTGAATGGGGCAAATGGGAGTTGTAGTTGGGACATTAGTGGGGAGCTACACGATTCCCTTGCCTGCTGCAAATCTTCCTTGGTAGAGTAGGTTTCCCAAATATTTTGTCTCATAATTCCCATCAGCCTCACCCAATGTGGTCAATGTTAGGAATTATGGGGTTTGTATTCCAAATCATCCAGTGTTAGATATTTTTAATATTTCTGTAAGAAATTAAATGAATCCATTTACATGCATACACAAAGGTTGACAATTAATGAGAACCCTCCCCCCCAATTAATGAAACTTCTAATGGCAACGTTGAAGGTGTGGCGTAGCGGTTTGAGCATTGGAATATAAATGGAGAACAGAGTTCAAATCCCAACTTGGCCATTAAAACCCATTGAACAAGTCACACATATTTGATTTCAAAAAGTCAGCAACATGTTCTCCTTAGGGTCACCACTTAGGTCTTGAAGGCACACACCAGCAACCAGGACTGAAAGAGCTTAGGCAGAGAGTTTTTAAATTAAGTTCTGATCAAGGCCTACGGTAAATACCTTGAAGATACAGAACCCATTTGGTTATAGAAGCTGAGCAAGATCAAGTTTAGTTAGTGCTTGGTTGGAACTTAAATCTGTGTTGGCTGAGCATATTTGTTTCAATGGACTAATGAGTGCCTAATTCTACATTTCATGGTAGTCCTCTTGAGACACAAAAGGTTAATTCGGGCCCCATCTACTCTGTCACATAACATCCAGATTATCTGCTTTGAACTGGATTATATTAGTCTGCACTGTTATATAATCCAGTTCAAAGAAGATAATCTGGATTTTATATGGCAGTGTAGATGGGGCCTCAGAGAGGCCTGTGTCCTACCCTGGCTCACACATCTTCTGCTTTTTCCAGTATCCAGGTCCGGTATGGCAGAGAGTGGAGCGAGTACCAGGGAGGCTCAGCTGGAGACCTAGAGGAGATCTTCCTGTTTCCAGGCGAATCCATCATCCAAGTCCAGGGGAAATTCAATAGCTACGTCAGCAGACTTGCGTTTGTCACTGACCGAGGGCGCTACTTTCCCTTTGGAATGGGCAGAGGTATCAGCTTTAATGCTGTTCCGCTGTTCCCTGGCACCGTCTTGCGTTACATCAGTGGCAGCTCCGGTTCAATCATTGATGCCATCAGTTTCCACTGGGATAACAAACCCACTGGGATAACAATGCCACTGGGATAACTATCCCACAACTTTCCCAGTTGTGGAAAGTGAGCATAAAACAGCAAGAGACACCTCAGCGTAAAGGCTTTGGCTTCACCCCCTTGTGGCCACCAGACCCACCCATTCAACCAACCCTCAACTCCATTTCCTCAAAGTCCCCTTCTTTTGGAGCTGAGTGAAGCCAACCCACATCTTGGCTCAGTCCTGGCCCACTTCTTCTAAGCTTTGTCTCTTCTCAAATGGCCACTACAACCACTGCTAGCAAATAAAGGCAAATTTTGAAACTAGTCATCCAGTGTTTCCTTATTTGTTGTCAACCTACATGGTTACGATGGGAACAGAGGTCCAGACTGGTGCTGTCAAACTAGAACTTTGTTTGAATGCCACGAGATTGTTATCAAGCATGACACACACACACACACACACCCAAATAAAAGATAGTCTATAATTAGAGAACTTATAGTTTACCAAGGACACAAGCTGGGATGGTATAATAAAAAGAGTTAAGGCTTGGCCAGGTTGCACAAGGACTAAAAGCAACAAAAACTCCTCACTGTTAAGTCTGTGTACATTTAAATCAAAGTTTTATATGTATATTTATAACAAAAGGTGTTGGAATTCATGCCACAGAAGACATTCCCTAGCTATCCACTAAACAGCCTTCAATGACTCACTAACAATGGGATTCAAAAGCATTTGGTTTTAGCTGGAAGAAAAATCATCTGCATATCTATGCCCTAGTCTGAATAGTCAGGGGACCAATACATCTTACAATCCTGCAAATCTCTTGAGAAGACAGACAGAAAAATGTCAGCATGCTAGAGGAAGCAAAGACCCTCAGCACTGAAACGATGGTCCTCCACCATCAACACTGCTGGACCGGCCACATTTTCTGAATGCCAGATTACTGTCTCCCAAAGCAGTTACTCTACTCCCAATTCAAGAATGGAAAACGAAATGTTGGAGGACAGAAAAAGAGATTTAAAGGTGGGCTGAAAGCAAACCTCTAAAACTGACATAGACACCAAGAACTCTGAAGCCCTGGCCCTTGAACACTCTATCTCGAGGTCAGCTGTGACCAGTAGTGCTGTAGAATTTGAAGAGGCACGAATGGAGGGCGAAAGGGAGAAACGTGCCAAGAGGAAGATACACCAAGCCAACCCTGACCGGGACTGCCTTCCACCTGGAAACCGATGCCCTTACTGCAGGAGAACATACGGATCAAAAATAGGACTCCACAGCCACCTATGGACCCACCGCCAATACACCACATCTGGAAGACAATCATTTATTTATTTATTTATTTATTTACTTCGCTTATATACCGCAATTCTCAGCCCAAGGGCGACTCATTGCGGTGTACAACATATAAAAACAGGTGCAGAATACAAAACATAGTGTAAAATAATCCACAATTCAGCATTATCAAAACATCTCATCAAAACATCAACATTACTACAAAAGCCATTCCGAGTCGTCTCATCGTCAAAGCCACAATCCAGTATCATTTTCCGTTGTTCCATTCCTATGGTCAATTACCAATCATTGCACTTCTTGTTCAAATGCCTTCTTAAACAGCCAGGTCTTTAATTTCCTGCGGAATATCAACAGGGAGGGGCTAGCCTGATGTCCACGGGAAGGGTGTTCCACAGCCGAGGAGCCACCACCGAGAAGGCCCTATCTCTCGTCCCCGCCAGCCGTGCCTGTGACGCAGGCGGGATCGAGAGCAGGGCCTCCCCGGAAGATCTCAAAGTCCTCGTGGGCTCATAGGCCGAGAGGCGGTCAGTTAGGTATCTTGGGCCGGAACCGTTTAGGGCTTTATAGGCCAATGCCAGCAACCTTGAATTGAGCCCGGTAGCAGATCGGCAGCCAGTGGAGCTGGTACAGCAGGGGGTTGTATGCTCCCTGCGTCCCGCTCCTGTTAGTATCATGGCTGCCGCACGTTGGACTAGTTGGAGCTTCTGGGCCGTCTTCAAAGGCAACCCCACGTAGAGAGCGTTGCAGTAGTCTAAACGGGATGTAACCAGAGCGTGGACTACCGTGGCCAAGTCAGACTTCCCAAGGTACGGGCGCAGCTGGCGCACGAGCCTAAGCTGTACAAATGCTCCCCTGGTCACCGCCGAGACCTGGGGCTCCAGGCTCAACGATGAATCCAGGATCACACCCAAGCTGCGAACCTGCGACCCCATCCGGCACAGGCTGTAACCCTATACCCTGTTCGGCCTTATGACTGACCAGGAGTACCTCTGTCTTGTCTGGATTCAATTTCAATTTGTTCGCCTTCATCCAGACCGTTACAGGACCTGAACAGCCTCCTTAGTAGCAGGTGGGAAGGAGTGACAGAGTTGGACATCATCCGCGTACAGATGACACTGTACTCCGAAACTCCAGATGATCTCCCCCAGGCTTCATGTAGATGTTAAACAACATGGGAGACAGTATTGAACCCTGAGGAACCCCACAAGACAAAGGTTGTGGGGTTGAACAGGAGTCTCCCAGTAACACCTTCTGAGACCGACCTCGAGGAATGAGCGGAGCCACTGTAGAACAGTTCCTCCGAGACCCAATCCCGCGAGGCGTCCCAGAAGGATACCGTGGTCGACGGTATCGAAGGCCGCTGAGAGGTCGAGCAGCACCAACAGGGACACACTCCCCCTGTCGAGCTCCCGACGCAGATCATCCACTAAGGCGACCAAGGCTGTCTCGGTACCATGCCCCGGCCTAAAGCCAGACTGTGCCGGATCCAGATCATCCCAAGAATGCCTGGAGTTGTGAGGCCACCACGCATTCCAGGACTTTGCCAAAAAAGGGAAGATTGGAAACTGGCCGAAAGTTGTTGAATTTAGTGGGGTCCAGTGATGGTTTTTTCAACAGCGGTTTTATTATAGCTTGTTTTAAGCTCGCTGGAATTCTGCCTTCCCGAAGGGAGGCGTTAACCACCACCTCAACCCACCCCCGCTAGCTCAAGTAGGGAGACTGTAGTGCAGCGAGGTGGACGGTACACTAGCAGAATCCCTATTCTGTCCCGGTCACCCACCCTCAGGTGGACGCATTCAAAATTTGTTCTGCGGGATGGGACTCCTGGTCAGATGGATGGAATCTCTATAGACCACTGCGACCCCGCCTCCCCGCCCTCCGGATCTCGGCTGATGCTGCACAGAAAAACCTGGTGGGCAAAGCTGGGTCAAATTCACGCCTCCAGCTTCGTCCAACCAGGTCTCCGTGATGCACGCCAGATCTGCCCGCTCATCCAGGATTAGATCCTGGATGGCAGTAATTTTTCCGTTGACAGATCTGGCGTTCAACAGCACCACCTTCAATCCAGAGGGACCGCCACCCCGGTTACACCAATTTACCATATTAGGAGACCTGTTTGGAATTACTAGTGTAGTTGTACGATCCCTAGGCCGAATTAATGGTCTCCTTTTCCCGCCTCTCCCCTTCCCCACCACGACTTCTATGGGGGCTCCTCGGCTAGTGGAACACCTCCCTTCCTCCATGCCACAGTCCATTTCCATGACCCTAATTTCTGTCCCATTGTTGGTTGTCTGATTTGTTAAGGTCTTACTTTGCCATGTTCTTCCATTCTCTTTATCCCCCCCCCCCCCGCCTTATCATTTCCCACAACCTCCAGCCCATTTCGTCCTGTGTCCCTTCCACAAGTAATTAGCACCAGGGATAATAAATATAGGAAAGTAGGGGACCACATCAGTAGTGGTGGTAGACTACGTACAACTGGAGCCGATCTTAAAGTGCAAGTTCTTAAAGTGCAAGGAAACCAAAATCTAGCACAAAGCGCTACCTGAAGTGCGATCTTAATGTGCAAGTTCTTAAAGTGCAAGAAAACCAGAATCTAGCACTAAGCGCTACCTAAAGTGCGGCATGGAGGGAATGGAATAAGTTAAAGTGCTGAGTTGGAAGTAGCAGCAAGTAGGGCTAGGAAGCAATAAAGTGCTATGCTAGGCGATTCGTAAACAAATCTGCAAGAGTATTAATGAACAGGAATCATTGGTAAAGTTATTGTGGTTCACAGATGTAAACGATGGACAGTTGGTGTAAATCGATGAATGGATCTCTTAGTCCTTCCAGAGATGGTCAACACAGGTGGTCGGTCAGCAGTGCTGGTCAGCACAGTTGGTCCACACACAGCCTGGCCGCACAGTTGGTCTACACACAGGTCGGTCTGCACAGGAAGTTGGTCAGCACAATTGGTCAGCACAGTTGGATCGCCCACAGCCTGGTCTGCACAGTCAGTCACCACCAGGGTCGATCTGTACAGGTGGTTGGTCAGCTTAGTTGGTCCACACAATTGGCTGGAAGAGGCCAACTAGATGATGGCGATGGCGGCTGCGATGGCGGCAACAGCACCTTCCCGGCCGCTTGTCCCTTCCCAAGGGGCAGCCCTGCCGCGGCCTGGATCGTAAAGGCGGCAAAGGCCTAGTTGGACTGACGGCCCCGCCACTAGCTGCGCTCGCGGCAGCGGCCTCGACGGCGGCGGCGGCACAGGCCCCTGCTCATCCCTCCTCAGCACTCCGAGGAGGGGGGCAACTCCAGCAACGGCGGCGCTGATGGCTGCTGCAACAGGGGCGGCAGTGACGGCGGCACAGCAGCGGCCCATCTCCTCTCGGCCTCCAACAGCCTCTCCTCCCAGCGGCCTCTCACCAAGGGAGCATGACTCTAGCCGCGGCCCAAACCGCAGCGGTGGCAAATGGTGGCCGCAGCAGCAGTGGCGCTCGCGGTGGCGGCCTCGGCAGCCCTTGCAGCTCGGGCCTTCACTCTCGGTGGCAGCACAGGCGGCAGTGGACAGGCCCCTTCACCCTGCTCCCGACAGGTTGGGCAGTCAGCCCACCAACACTCACCAGGTGAGGGATAGATCTTGTTGAAGGAGGGAGCCGGCCGCGTTGTAATGGCGGCGCTCCCTTACCTTCCTCCGCCTTCCTGGCCCCTTTCTCCAGGGCTCCTCGGCTCTCCTCCAGGCCGCTTGGGCCCCTGCAGGGCCCATGGTAATTCTCAATCTCTCTCCCTCCTTAATTGGGTGGTCAAGGGGGGAGGGTTCTCTAGGATT